GAAAATAATTTCAGCCAAGAATGGACAGCTGAATTAAAAAATCAACAACAATTTCCAGAATTTAAAATCCTGAATCATGACATGACACTAGTGGAATTCAGGTGTTTCTGGTACATGGACTGCTCTCACCCAATGTGAGGTTGAACTGTCGACCTTGTGTACATCCTACTTCACAAATGAGTCTGTCAGATATGCTAAGCCTATAGGCTGAAGATGATGCCCCAACACTGTGGAGAAACCTCAGGTGACTGTCCAGGCAGCTGGCTGTTTCTGTCAACTCACAAATTTTTTGGAAGTTGCTTGCATGCACTTTCTGTTTTTATTTTTGTTAGCTAATATTATTTCCTTCTTGGGTCTCTGAGGGAGTTGAAGATTAGTTAGTTATAGTTGAAGGTTAGTTAGTTATAGTTGAAGATTAATTAGGATAGAAAGTGAATTAGATACATTTTGGACTTAACAAAATAGGATAGATAACAAAGGTCATTTCTTAAAGCTATCCCCACAGTGCTCTTTTGTGACCCCTCACAAGAATCACCTTTAATGCCTTTATTATGACAGCTTGTCTCAAAATTCTTCCAGCCTTTGCCCGTTGTGAAGTCCCAGCTACTTTTACTTCTTCTGGTATTAGTTCTGGTATTTTTACCTACTACAGAGGTACCAGCGTCTGTCATTGCTACTGGAACACGACACCCTGGAACAGGGCATTTATAAACAATACAAACGTAGAGCTCACAGGTGCGGAGACCAGGAAGTCCAAGATCACGGTGGTGGCAGGTCCAGTGGCTGGTGAAGATGCCTCTCTGCTCTCCACATGGCACCTACCTTGCCTGTCACTCTCACAAAGCCTCTCCCTTGGTCCTCTTTTGTAAGGACACTAATGCCGTCATGACCACAGAGCCTTCGTGACTTAATCACTTACTGAAAGGCCCAGTATTGCTTCCCCCTCTCACCTTCCAACAGTTTATCAGAAGAGTTCATTGTTTTCACTCATTAGCCTGATTCCCCTTTTTCTCAAACCACATAAAATTGATATTTCTGTTCTTTTATCCTTAAAATCATTTGGAGCAATACAGTAGAAAAGATCAATTTCATATTAATGTTTAAAATTATCACATCCTTCAAGAAAACTGAAAATAAGCTTAGATTTTTAAAAATTGACATTAGCATCTTTACTGTTTTAAGGACAAAATTCAGTGAACACATAGTGCCTTCAAATATGGCACTTTGCAGGGTAAATGGGGCAGGTGGACTAGCATGTGGGCAAGACACTGTGCTGTGGTGACTGGGGAGCAGATCTTTCTCCTGTGGAAGTGGTAACTAGGGATTTTTATGCCAAGCTGCTGCTTCTTCTCAGTCCTCTCAGACAATAAACCTGGACTCAACCCTCGTACCCAGAATGCACCTCGTAGAGAGAGCAGCTCCTCAGTCTAAATACATCAAGAGTCAAGGCTCAGTCTCTTAGCCATTAATGTAGAGGCTAGGTTTCAACATCAGAATTTTAGGGAGACACCAATATTTATACTTATGGCTTATTTAATGTCTATGCTCTGGTACCTGGGATAAAAGAAAAAAATTAAGATTAATATACAATATTATAAATGTAAAATTAATACACTAAGAGAACGAGCAATTCAATAAAATACATTTTATACTGCTACTTGAAATATACCTTTATAAGACAAAAGTATATTCATAAAATTTTAATATTTCTGATTACTAGAAGTCAGCAGATGTAAAAATAACTCACTAGTATCATACTGTATAGCTACGTGTACTGCACTTGATCAGTGTAATGCTTGAAGCTGAAATGCTTCCTGAAGGTTCAGGTGTTGGAGGCTTGACTGTCAGCTGTAATGTTAGTTAACATTATCAACTTGACAGGAACTAAAATTGTCTAGGAAACAAACCCCTGGGCATGTCTGTAACAGAGTTCATAGACTGGGTTGAGATAGACCCACCCTAGTGTGGGTGGCCCCTGCTATGGACTAGACTCAGGGACCAGATGAAAAGCAGAAAACAAGTAGAGTACCAGCATTAATCTCCCTCTGCTTCCTGACTGCAGACACAACGTGACCAGCTGCTTCCAGTTCCTGACCCTATGACTTCCCACCTTGGTGAACTGCATCCTGAAACTGTCAACATTAGGTTGTTTTGTCAAATATTTTGTCATGGTAACAAAAAGGTAACCCATACAGAAAATTGGTGTTGAGTAGTGGGACCATTGCTCTAATAAAAATGATCTTGTTGTATGACCATGTGACTTTTGGAACTTATTAGCAGGAGGAATACAGTAGGGTTTAGAACTGTGAGGCTTAAAAATTCCTAGAATGGGGGCTGGAGAGATGGCTCAGGGGTTAAGAGCACCAGCTACTCTTCCAGAGGTCATGAGTTCAATTACCAGCAACCACATGGTGGCTCACAGCCATCTATAATGAGATCTGGTGCCCTCTTCTGGTGTGCCGGCAGGACACTGTATACATAATAAATACATCTTTTAAAAAAGAAACAGAAAGAAAAATAAAAATCCTGACATCACCACTCCCTTTATTCCATTTCTTAATGTGTTTATCTCCTTGATTACAGGATTTAGCTCTATTCCACTTCTGATGCTCCCTTTCTCAACCCGTGTATTTTGTATTTTTATTTGCTCAGCCTGCTCCTTTTCGTTACATATCTTCATTAGAGTTAATACTAATAACCACACAACATAGTCTATACTAGGCTGTTTTGAGATTTCCTCTGCCAATGGAATCAATCCAACACTCTTCACTTTAGCCTCAGGCAGACTCTTTAGACAAGGGCAAAGAGCAGCCACATTCGTCAATGAAGTATCACTGAAGGGTCCAGGAATATAGAAATATAAAATTATAAACGTAAGGAATGAAAACTGACAGCCATCAGCTTGGCTACCAAAAAAAAAAAAATTAACCTCTAACTGGGCCCGCCATGTTTTATGATGGGCAGCTCTGTCAACAACCCAAGTGTTAGTTTTCTTTGACTAAAGATTGCCCTGCGCAGCCCTGGGGTTAGCTGTTCTTCAAAACCAAAGTTCACATTTAATGAGTTCTGTGTGACAACCTGCCTTGCATTGACAACCTGTGCCTTGCGCTGTTCCGTACTCCCTCTATCCCCGCCCCCCACCCCCACAGGAAGCCAGCTGTGTCAGGAGAAGCTGCAGGTTTGGACAAACATCAATTAACTGAGTCAAGAAGGGCTGCAGGGATATACAAATATTGTTTAACTAAAACCCCCTAAAACCTTATTAATAAAAAATTATAAAACTCTAAAACAATTTGGCTCTAAAAGTTTAACTTCAAAATTGTAAAAATTCCTTTGTCTATGCCTCATGCTTACCCCTTACTATAAAAAGAGGCTCATAGGCCCCCCTCCAGATGCCACAGCCTCAGAATTCCAACATTGGCTGTGGCCTCAGCTAGCTGATAAGCTTTGTGCCCTGTGGTGTCTTACTTTTTTAATTTTTAACTTTTCTGGAATGAAGTTTGCTTCTGGTGTAATAGACTTTGGTGGTCCCAGACCCAACATCACGAGAATGATCTCTAGGCCATGTATTAATGTTTTTCTCTTCTGAAACCTCTTGAGACAGGCCCACACAATTCATTAAATCACACTCAATACTATGTCTTCCATGTTCCTACTACTATGGCCCATTAAGCAGCACTTAAAACATTCAACTGCTTTTCTAACCCAGAGAGTAGAAGGCGGTAATTTGAATGTAATAGAAACCCTAAGACCGGCATGCATCAAAAAGCTCATTGTTGAAAGCTTGGACCCCCACTGCAAGCACTGTTAACAGGTTACTGGATCATGTGAGTGTGAACCTCATCAAAAAATTACTTCATTGATGAGTTTATACTCAATGAGCTATTAAGAGGAGCAGCCTAGCTGAAGGAAGTAGGTCCCTGGGCCATGCCTTAGAATTTCAAAAGGATATCGTATTCCTGGCCATTTCTGTCTCCTAATGCAAGGAAGTGAGCCGGTTTCCTTCACCACAGGCTCCCTTGCATCATAGTCTATTGAACTACCAAGGACTACGTGACACAGAGTCCAGTGACCACGAATTAAAACCTCTAAAATTGTAAGCCAAGTAAATCTGTTCTCTATTGTTTGTTGGAGTTATTCTGTCACACTGACAGACAGAAAACAATCTGATTAACACAATTACAAGTCTGAACAAAAAGAGAAAATAAAAGTATACAACTGGTACTATTGGGAACGATATCTTGTTATCCAGGGTTCTACTATGTTACATTCCGGTGATTCTGAAAAGAGCAAATGAATTCTATTTTATTATAGAGAAAGCCCTTAGACTATAATTCAGGGGTATATACACCAGCACAAATGCGAACATTATACATTATGAGCAGAGACTTTCTTCCTATAGCCCCAAACTAGGAGTAAGAATATTATACCTGCCATAGAAAATATTACATAACATGATGCTGGAAGTATCTGTTATTGCAATGACATGGTTATTATAATCAAGTTGTGATATTCTGGTTGACCACATGTGTGAAGAGTGAGAGAGGAAGGGACAATTTGTTCCACTCCAAACAGGTAAGTCTTTTGCTTGTTTGTTTTCATTTTATCTAAACAGGAGAAAGCATCACAAAGCAGACAGAAGTAAAAGAGTTCAGGCAAACACAGGAAAAGCATCCTCATGTTGCTATTATGCTAATTCTTTACTGGTTTCCCATCATGCTTCAAAACGGTCTGAAGTGTATTTGTACACATATATCTTCACCAGCTCCCCTCCACTTACACCCATTGCATTTTAGTAGCCCAGGGATATTTGTGCCATGATTTGTCCTTTAGAGAAGCCTAATGGTCACTTGGAATGCTCTAGAAATTATGCCCTGTGAGCCTGTAGCTTGTTTTTGTTTTGCCCGTGGATTAACAGGGATCTACCCTTGCAAACGCCTGAAAAGTTTTAAATAATATTACTATTGTCAACACAAAATCATTAAGTGTAAATTTCAGGGTACAGGATTAAAAGTTTAATTGGAATTCAGGCATCATTTTCATTACATATGTCCCCTATTATCATAACAGAATGCGGCCTGCTGACAGAAGAGACAACGTTGAGATTATTTGTGGAATAGTACTTTACAGAAACAAAACAAAGCAAAACTGCTGAGCCCTAGCCTAGAGGGCCGCAGACCTCCTCATCATGCTTGCTTCTCTCAGCTGCACCTCTGTAGGTCTCAGTTTGCTCCCTTCTTATTACAGAGAATGCTGACATCTATAAATGTTTAGAGGCAAAAGTGACTTGTTAACATTGGCTAAATTGTTTGTGAACTGATTCAATGCTCCTGTATACACATAAGCATTCACGGTGCCTTAAAACAACTGTCTCTAGACTTCCAGTGACAATAAGAATGATCTAAGCATATTTAATGTGAGTTTTAAGAAATTATTAAATGCCAATATATAATTCTTCTCATGTTTCTTTTATAAAGCAGAGTATTCTGTGGTTTATCACTAATAATTTCCTTGAAAATTATTACAGAAAATTGTTATGATGAAGAAAATTTTAGGAAAGGTAGGTCTAAGATTTCATTTATACAGATATAGGCCTCTCACTTCATGATATTTCATTACATGGAAAATATTTTTCCCCTTCCAAAGTCAACATATTATCACTTTCAGCCCATTTGCATTTTCTTGTGATACCTTCCTGTATCATCCAATAAGAGATCAGAGGCATTCTTCTATGGAAAGTGAGACGCGGTGCTGGTCAGGAAATGAACAGTTCTACTTCCCAGTAATATCATCAAGTACACTCAGAGCTGGCTGCTAATATCTGGAAGGAGATGATTCCTGAGAAATTTTTGTATCTCCTTCCAAGAATGCTCCTGTGCAGCTGCATGTGAGATAACCTCTCCGCCCCAGCTGATGCTTGGGATCACATAGGGGATCCTTGAGGCACAGCACAATGGGGAGTAGGGAGGCTCAATCAGGTGACCTGCCCCAGGGTAAGACAGCAGAGTCCAATTCTTCTTCCCACTTTTTATCAGCTGTGCTGTGGCTTGATGAGCATGTACTTTGCTGTTGAGATTCTTATCATCTTCTCCCACCACAAAAAGGAAATGTCCCTCAGCTTTTTCAATGGGAAAGCAATATTTGCTATCCTTGTCTGCAGTTTCCTCATAGGCTCGATAAAATTCTACAAGGCCCAAGGCATTGGTGGTTACAAATTCTATATTGCATGGTACGGGCCGGTCGACTCGACCATGATATTCATGTGGATCACTGGTAACAAAATTAGGCCCATTGATAAGTACAGTGGCTTTTATTTGTTTTAGGTTAATAGCCATAGAGAGTCCAACTTCTGCTCCTTTGCACACAGAAACGATGCCAACACCTGGGCCCAAGACCTAAAAACAATAACAATGAGATGTTATTTTTTTCATTAGGAAATCCACAATTTCAAATAATCCAGAACTTCAACAAGTAATAGTACAAGGCAAATTTAAAAAAAAACATAAACCCACCCATATGCTTATATGTCAAGTAGCTAGAGTTCTGGAACGCAGTTTGTTTACTTAATTGAGCTTTACTATAGATATATTGGATTCAGCATTATGCCTGGTTCTGAGTTTAAAATACCTTCAAGAACTATCACGCCAGGACTAGAAATATAGGTGGTGGTGAAGTCCTTCCCTAGCATGCACTAGTCACCATAGAAAAAAGAAACAAGAACAACAAAACCAATGTAGTCAAGAAAATAAGCAAAGTGAATGTGTTATTGTAAATAATGTTAGTCAGGGGATAGGCAATGAGTAAAGTACGTTGCAGAGGAGTAAGTTTCCTACAGAAAGAGGTGAGAATGAAGGGAAGTTAGGACAATGATGCATGGAACTTGAGTAGAAGTTTTGACCTCATAAGGAGATTTCAAAAAAGAGTATCTCAACATATTTTTTATTGTCAATCATCAAACACATGTAATATTTTACTTTAAGTTCCTAAATTTTAACTCTGTCCCTAGTCTCTAACTGTCTCAGCAGATTTCTACTTGGCTGACAGACACATCCAGGTATCAGCTGCTGACTACAACCTGCTTCAAATGACTGCAAGTCCTGGACTTGCTGAAGGCTGCTGTGATTGCTTCCTGTCTTTTCAGCTGGGTCAGCAATCTGGATGCTTTTGATAAATGCCCCATAGCCCGAATTCCCTCCTTGCCTTTGACCAGCATCCCAACCTTCCTAGACCCTGACAACAATGTCCTACTTCCAACAGGAAGTAAGTAGAGGAGAGAATACGTTGCCCCTTGTGCCCCAACAGGCTAGAATATTAGACTAAAAGGAAACTCTTTTATAGGGGACCTGAGTTGAAATAAGTAACTGGTCCCTATTCTCATTTCCATGTTCCTTCTAGATAGGAACTCAGTCATCACAGGGCCTTTGACCCTTTTGCGTCTGCTAATTGCTGTTGGTTCTTACATCATTGATGCTTAACTAAATGAAAATTTCTGTCTAGGTACCATTAAGCTGATGGTTATTAGATCCTAATATAAACAAGTACCCATCACAGAGTCGATGATTTGACTCAGGATACAACTCAAGGGGGAAATGTGAGAGCCAAAGTTACCTTTTTTTTTTTTTTTTTTTTGATTTTTTGAGACAGGGTTTCTCTGTGTAGCTTTTGGAGCCTATCCTGGAACTCGCTCTGTAGACCAGGCTGGCCTCGAACTCACAGAGATCTGCCTGCCTCTTCCTCCTGAGTGCTGGGATTAAAGGCATGCGCCACCATCACCCGGCTGCCAAAGTTACATTTTAAGTTTTAATTACTATTTCTAAGAGATCCATGAAACAAAATTGCCTCTGATCTGAAAGCCCCTTGCTAAGGACAGATAGTTCCTGAAATGCTGGAGGCTATTGTTTATGGGCAATAACAAGCCACATGTTTTTCATTCCCCTAAACAAGTTTCTTTGACCCATTTGCACCAGATGTGCTTGATCACATGTGGGCAGGAGGTTCACAGGCTGGAGGTACTTCAGGATGTATGATTGCCCCTGATTGGACCTGATGGGAAGTGCAGTGAATTATGCGTTTTCCTTAAGCCCTTGCCAGACTTGATTCTGGACCATTTCCCAGGAACCTGGGTATGGACCTGGCCAGAGTCCATCTACCTGGCCAGTACTTAATTAAAGCTTGCTTCAAATTTGGCTTTAAACTGTGGTAGTGGTCTTAGTCTTGATCGGTGGGATTAACACATGCCCAGCAAAGAAGTAATATCATTTCATAAGGCAACTACCTGCCAGATGAAAAGACAGGAGAGAGAGCCGTGGAGAGACACCTAGATGATTAGAGTATCACACATTCTATAGCAATGTATACAGATAGATCAACAGGATCAAAGAGTCTCAGAAGAAATGGGCTGTAAATTAAATTTTCACACATTAAAAATGGAGGCAATAAAGAGTAATATATTAAGTGATTCAGGTGTGCTAGTTACCCATAAAAGACCTTTCCCCACAATTTTAAGGCTAATATGACCTTGATTATGCATGGCAAAGCAGTGTATCCACTCTCAGAGGATGCATTTTGATGAGTCTGAGTCTATTGTCTTTTGTTACATATCTATTTAGTCTCTGTTGTAAGGTCAATATATTCTCCTTGTGGACTGATTTTCTTCTCCAGTTAAATAACACCGAATCAAGAGATTAAAATCTGTGTTCTTGACAATTCTTTCTATCTTAAGATGCTGATATGTTGACTCAGTGCACGAAACACAGCTATCTTGTGCACTGGAAGATAGGACCAAGAGCTGCCGAGCAGGAATTCGACATTTTCCAGAAAAGTGGCTGGGGTGGACTACATATCAACGTAAGGCAGTTTGTTTGCTTGTTTATTTTTTTTTTGTTTCGAACTCTGAAGATAGATGACTCAGACTTTGGTTCTAGAAAACATGCTAACAAGTTGTTTGTTTATAGATGTAAATACATATAACTTCTGGGGCTGTGGAGATCACTCAGTCAGCTAAGTGTTTGCCATGAAAGTATGAGGGCACGAGCTGTGTTTTCAGAACCTACGTAAAATCCTCAGACATGCTGGCTTGCTTGGAATCTCTGTCCTGTGGAGATGGACACAAGAGGATCAAGGCTCACTGGTCAGACAGCTTATCCTCAAAGGGAAATCTGTGCGTCTCTGTGAGAGACCCTGTTTCAAAACCAAGGTGGATGCCTCCTGAAGAACAATGCCTAAGGTTGACCTCCGTCCTCCACAAGCATATGCACACTCATGTACACACACACACACACACACACACACACACACACACACACACACACACGAGTTATCAATCCTTCCCCCACATACAGAAACCTGTACACAAACATCCTTCCCTAGTATATGCATATATATATACACACACATATATAAATATACATTTATACACACACACACACACACACACACACACACACACACACACACACATACGAGGGTGGGAGGGAGTCCTAGTCACTAGTTACAAATGGAACATCCAAACCAGAAAGAGTAAAAGACAACTGCTCTTTGTAGCACAAAATACAGCCTTTGCAGAATCACACTTCAATGTTAAGGCAAGTCACATAGCAGTGCAGTTAATGTAACACTGGGATAAAAATCATACTAATGAGCTCTAAATTACCTTAGGATGTCTCAGGAGAAACTCTGCAGCTTCTTCAAAATACTCTAGATCTATCTTCTCCAGGTAAGAGGGCAGGTCATCATAGCCCCAGTAAGCCAGAGCAAAGGCTGCAAAGCCATGACTGGCCAGAAGACTGGCCCGGAATTCAATCAGTCCGCCAGTGCTCCCAAACAAGTCAATGACCCCTGGGAAAGGGCCTTCTCCTGGAAAAGAGCAACATAAAACAGGTCACATGTGAAAATAGGGGGGAAGACAACAAGAATATGAAGCTGACAGGAAGAACTGAATCTCAGGATTAATGCGTAAATTTTCAAATAGAACATTCACATGCTCGGCCTTGTGTCTGGGGGTAGAAGTAAATAAAGCCTTCTCAATATATAATGAAACATCACTTCTAGGGATTTTATTACAAACTACATGCATTGACATATTTAATTCCTGAAGCCTAGAGGAGGGTTCATTTTCATTATTTTCAAGTAAAGAAAACCATAAAAAAAATGTGCCATGACTTCTTAACCAATAAAGGGTATATCAATGAGCTTTAGGAAATCAATGAAGATCATAAAATTAGATACAAGATATGCTGTCTGTTTATATGTGATTTCCTGTGAGAAATGCTACAGGTTGACAAAGGCTATCTCCAAAGGCCAACAGGAGAGGTAGAGCCTTTAAGAAGGGGACCTAGTTGGAGAGCTTCATGTCCTTGAGGGTAAGCCCTCACAGAGACTAGTTAGACAAAGGTTCTCTCCTATAAATGAAGTACATAGCTCAAAGATGTCTTTAGTGGTTCCACTAGATAAAATGTCTTGTAAGAGCTGCAGCTCCGGAGCTCAGTCCTGGAGCGCTTGCCTAACCTGCCCAAGTCTCAGGGCTCATCCCAGGCACTAGGAAACAAACAAAAAAAGGTCAACCACCCTTCTTTCTCTGTTACACTCCACTAACCACTAACTGATGAAACAGTTAATAAAACCTCCCGTCTCAGCAGAGGTCCACAGGGCGCTCTTTCTTTTAATAATAACAACTTCTATTCCTTGCAGCCTAGAGTGCAAGAAGAGGGATGTCAGAGCATCAGTCCACACTAACTGTGTAGACAACTCATTTCTAAAACAAACCAGAGCCCACCCACTGTGGCTATCATTAACGTCCCTGTCATGAAACTTGATTTTAGAAAAGGAAGACTGGTTATGTTTGTTTAAAGACTGGCTGAACATGAAGGGCCACTGGCAAGTTTTTAAATGACTGTGCCCCAGCAGATCATTTGATGCAGGAGATGCTACCTATCTAATGTCCCAGAAGATAGCAAATGACAAGCCTGGTGCCAGCAAACCAGCCCGATGCAGAAGGCCTGGACCAACACATACACATTTTAAACGGAGGTGTGATACTAAAGAAACAAAACTTAGTGCTAGCTCCTTGGCCCTAAGCACAATAGGATGGTCTATATTTTTATTCCTGGGTATAAAAAAATTAAGTTACGTAAACAAGCTTGTTATATAGCAAAGCTGCAATGCTGTACTTAAACTGAATATCAATGTGATATAGCTCCAGAAAACAGCTGTACAAGAATCTTCAGTCAGCCAGGCTCTAATGAACTACATTTTAACCTACATTAACTCTTCAGAAACCTCCCGATGCAGGGACTCTGCGATATGTCGTCACAGCCTGAGATAAGCTTCAGAGTGGTGGGGGTGAAACTTGAGTTAGAGTGGAATAGCACCTATTTCTTATTCTGAGCCAAAATCAACCCAGATTCTTGGGTAGGATGGTGAGACCTATGTAACACCCTCCTCCAAGCTAAACTTCTAGAGGCACAAGGCATCCTGGAAGGGAAACAGTGGTCACAATAACCAGAGTGATTCTACTGACCTGGAGGCAGAAAGAGGGCTCCCCGGAGGCGGCCTTCCTTTACCAGGATCCTTGTGACACCAGGCGCTACATACCATCTTTCCAAAGTCAGGCTATCCATGGGCGGGCCGATAGTTACACCTTTTATTGGAAAGTGTGGACTGCGGAGTTCTATGTGGACCTGGTAGGGGCTATTCATCACATCTCTTTTTGCCAGTCGACTCAACAGCTTTTCGGGTTTCAAGGACCACAGAAGACCCATGGGGTGGACACCCATGTAGTCTCCTCCAAGTGAGGGATCACGCTCCAGATCCACCTCCCCCACTTCACTGGCCTTGTAGTACGCCTGAGAACCAAACAGATTGCCCTTCTCATCTCTCAGTGATGCCTGAAGGCACACCACCTGGAAGGGCGTCAGGCCTGTGACTCGGATGTGCACAGGCTCATCGACAAGGGCACTGAGAGGAGTGGCTGTCAGCTTGGCCATCTGGGCAGTGGGAACCTTGAACAACTCTTCAGGAATATCTTCACCAAAACCTCAAAACAGAAACAGAAATGAAATACAGTGGCAAGAAGGTTAGTGGGTAATGGAAGAGATGAGGAGTCAGACCTCTTAGGATTCAGTTTTAACTCCCCATTGATTTGCTGCATATATATTGTGATAATTTTGTAGCGTAAGACACCCGAGAGATTTTAATAGGTTTCTAGAAGCTAGAGAGCATGCGGGTAAATGCTCCAAGTTTAAGCAGCACTCCAACTTCACGTGAATGATATCAGGACATCAAGGAGGATATCTCAATCTGTCCCCATGCACAAGTCTGGAAAAAACAGGATTGAGACGTGAGGGTAAAACATGCTGATTGACTGAACAGCTCCCCATAAAGAATAGAGAGCACCACTAACTAATCTCTTCCATGGGGACATGTGTGTTCAGTCTTAGAGAAAAGAAAGGTAACTATCACTTTGATTTTAGGACTTATACAGATGTAAGGCCTTCACATACGTAGACGTCTTGCTGAAATGTGCATCATCTTGCCCTTAAGTGTTAACACAAGAGTGACCACTCTTCCTAACAAACCAAAACTATCATTAGATTGTTCGATTTATCTGGTTGTCATGCTGTTTTCATTTTAACTCATTTTGCTGAAGATGCCACCCATCTAAATGAGTCAAACTCCAGCATGTGACAAAACAGCTATTCCTGAGAGGCAAGAAAATGTCCCACCTACTCTGCTACTCACTTATGATAAGACAGCAGGAAGGAACCCCACAGAGAGATATGAGAAGTAAGAGAAAAGGGGTGCCTACTTTTGATGGGTGCTGAGGTAGAACTCTGAGAAACTCTCACTCCAGAGCATGTTTCCACTCATCCTTATCTACAGGACATCACCAGAGCCTGACAGTGCATCCAAGGTTGGCTGCAGGGACACATACTGAGATGAATCCATGGGAGGCTTTCAAGCCTCCACTTAATATACGGCAGCTGCCCTCCACAGGATGAAGGCAGGGGAGCAAAGCAAGTTTCCTATGCTAAGGAAGCCAGGAGTACTACCACAGAGCCATGCAAATTCCCTAGTGACCCTTCTTCCAGGGCTCCAAATCAGGAATTCTCAGTTTAAAAGGCTAGCAAACAGCTGTTAAAGCCAAAGATCTTCCCACGGAGTTCATGAAGGCTGAGAATCCAGGCTCTTCTGATGAGAAAGGGCTTCACCCCAGCATCCGAAACTGAACTCAGTGGTGCCCTTAACTCAGTAAGCCTGCCACAGGTCCCAGACCCAACTCACACTTGGCTCAGATCAGAGTGATTAGCCCCAAGCCCCAAGAGAATATTACATTTATTGTGTATGTGTGTGCATGTGCGTGTCTGTGTGTGTGTGCGTGTGCATGTGCGTGCATGTGTGTGTGTGTGTGTGTGTGTGTGTGTGTGTGTGTGTGAGAGAGAGAGAGAGAGAGAGAGACAGAGACAGAGACAGAGACAGAGACAGAGACAGAGAGAACTGATGGGTGTTGACTGTCTTCTTCCACCATGAGTCAGCAAGTGATTTTACTCACTGAGCAATATCACTGGCCCTCTTTTTTTTTTTTCAGATGTTATTTTCATACAAGTCATCCAGGATCCATTTTTTATTATTATACATAAAAGTTATAAAGACTCATGATTACAAGAGGAGAGAATCACTATAATAGAAAGAGAAGTAGTCCAGATGTTGGGATTATCAGACGTCAAGTAGAAAGGAACCAACAGACACAAGAACAGCTCAAACTAAACCACAGAGAGAAAAATCAAGATAAAAGATGAGAGCACTGGAGACATGGGAAAATATTTTAATATATATGGTTTAATATATAGTATAAATTCTTTAATAATTGGCACCTTAGAAAGGCATGTTAGAGATAGGCACAGGAAGAATGCTTATTAAAAAAAAATCGAGGGCTGAATTTTCCTCAATTCATTGAAAAGCACCATGATACAGTCACAAGAAATGTAACAAATACAGGGACAAAAACAGCTAAATCTCAGCTGTCATTATCGTCAAACTGATAACACCCACAGCAAGTGTTAATATAGCCAGAGAAAAGTGGCAATGTTACAGAGGAAAAGAACAAACGTAAAGTAACAAGCAGGAGACAATAAACCCTCAGTGCTCCAAAGGAAAGAGAAAAGAAATAAACAAAGCAAAATGCCTGAAACTCCTTACCTAACAAATATCAAATTACACATCAAAAACAGAGGCAAAAGAAAGAAATTTCCAGGGAGAAAAGGAGAAAATACATCTGCAGTAAATTGTATTTCAAGAAATGCACTATGTAAGGGATGTTATTCCAGGGAGACAACTTAATGCATCTGAGAAATGAAGAAGAGCAAGAACACATTTATTATCTGGGTAAATATAAAAGCCCTTTTCCAAATTTCATCACCTATACATAGATACATATGTGAGCCTAAACATAGTTAAAAGTCTATAGGCTGTTCAAAATAAAAGTAACTGTTTTATGAAGGTTATATAAGAAGTATGGCCAATAGGTAGAAATGTGATAAATATGCTTCTTATATATCACTGTTTTTCAAATAACATGAGGCTTTCTGCAGGTAGATAACACTAATTTACAGTACTTAGCAAGAGCCCAATGAGCTAGGAGATAATAGATATGAGAACTGCCAGATGTCAGTGTGATTATTACGGAGCAAGTGACATAGAGAAGGATACAGCCAGCAATCACTTACAGTGGCGGTACAGCAATGTCCTGAAATGGAGGTGTTCAGGGGAGGAAGATCAGCACCGATGCACAGGACTTCTCCCTAACTCTCAATCCAAGGCTCTGACAACGTGGCAGATACTGTAGGAGCTTAAAAAATGCAGCCTATCCAATCAGAGCTGGGGAACATATCTTTCTATGTCACTCCTCAATGCTGGCTAAACAGAGAGGTGCCTAAGAAGACCTTGGAATTTGGACTTTGGATAAAAGCCTAAGCTAAAATTCCTGAAAATAAAAGCAGGAGGGCCGCTACTGTGGAAAGGCCCCAACAAGCTTGTGTCTTTCATTGCGACTCTCCTCTGACACCATCTGCTTTGCTGGGATGTGGCTGTGAGCTTCTGTGCACCCAGCACTAGGGAGACTGAGGCAGGAGTGAAGCCAAAGCTAGCCTGGGCTCCACAGGGAGATTCTGTCTAAGAAAAACAAAAGAGCCAAACAACAACAAAAGGAACTGTCTCTGTAGCGCAGTATGCTATTTCAAACACAAGTCTCAAGGGCAAGGGAGTAAAATCATCTAGGATTCACTCTTGCCTGTGTCCTGGAGTCAATACAGAGCTGGAGACACCACTTCTGGGATATGTGAGCCTCTTTGTGGTCTTTCTGCATGAGCCTGTTTGGATTTTCTCACATCATAGCTAGAAGGGCAAGAGATAGAAGCAGCTGTAAGCTCTAACCTCTGCCATGTCATATTTGTCAGAGAAGGCATAAGCCTCCATTAGAATTCAAGTGGGGAGGGCAGAGACTTCGACAGTGAGGTAACTATCAACCGGGGAAAGCGATGAGGGTATGGGATATATGTATGCCGTTTTGCGTAGCAGGCTTTCTCAGACCGCCAGCCCCCAAATCATGACATGGAGACTTATTATTAGTTATGAATGCTCGGCCTTAGCTTAGGCTTGTCCCACTAGCTCTTATAACTTATTTTAACCTGTTTCTCTTCATCTACATTTTGCCTCAGGGCTTTTTACCTTTCTTTCATTCTATATATCCTACTTTCCTCCTTGTCTGTCTGTCTGGCGGCTACCTGGCTGGCTGGCACTGGGCATCTCCCTCTCTTTCTCCCTCCTTCTCTTTTCTTGAGCAGAGGTTCTTCCTCCTACTTATTCTCTCTGCCTGCCAGCCTATGTATCCCTCCTCTGCCTAGCTATTGGCCATTCAGCTTTTGTTAGAACAATCAGGTGCCTTAGGCAGGCAAGGTGAAACAGCAACACCTCTTTACAGAATTAAACAAATGCAGCATAAACAAATGTAACACATCTTTACACAGTTAAATATTCCATAACATAAGCAAATGCAACACATCTTTACATAATTCAAGTAATATTCCACAACACTTCTTCTTATATTTGTACTGCCTTCTGCAATCCTTTGGAAATAAAATCTGCCACAGTAGGGGAATAAGAGAGCAAATGATAAGTCAGATGAATGGAAAATAGTGACCACGATGGGAAATCTCAACACAATTATATCTAAAATTGCATTATGGGGCTAAAGAGATGGTTCCATGGTCAGGAACACTGGCTGTTCTTCCAGGGAAAGATTCCTAGCACTCACATGGTGACTCACAACTCTCTGTAACTTCAGTTCCAGAGGATCTGATGTCCACAGCACCAGGCACACAAGTGCTACACAGACATGCATGCAGGCTAACACCCATACACATAAAATAAAAACAAAAATGAGAAAAAGAAATAAGGTGGTTGAAGGGAGATGTGATGACTATTCTTGGTTGTCAACTTGACTACATCTGGAATAAACTACAATCCAGGAATGGAGGGCACACCTGTGAGGGACTTTTTGCTTGGTTTGAAGTGGGTGAATCTACTTCTAGTCGGACCTTTGAGGTAGGAAGGCACACACCTTTGATCAGGATCATGAGGTTCAGGAAGACACATACACTTAATTCAAATTTTGAGGTGGGAAGGCACACCTTTAATCTGGGCCAGACCTTCTCCTGGAAGCCTATATAAAGACATAGAAGAAGGAAGCTTTTGCTCTTTGACTGCTTGCCCTCATCTAGGACATCCATTTCTCCACTAGCATTAGAGCATATTTCTTCAGGATCCCAGCATATATGGAAGAGCAGTTGAGACATTCAGCCATGTGGAGTGAGCAACTACTGGATTCTTGGACATCCATCCGTTGTTTGATTAGCTGGACAGCTGCCTGTAAATCATTCCAATAAATCCCCTTTATTTATATAGAGAGATTCATTCCATAAGTTCGATTACTCTAGACAACCCTAATACTGGAAGGGAGTTTGCTTTGTGCCTTATCTGGGCTTCCTCCCAAAGCTCATTTTTGATGTAACAACACAACAGTAATTAATTTATTTTGAGGGGTTAGAAGATATGCAATGAATGGTTGGCTAAGGGTGGTCCTTTTACACATACATAGAGGTGGGGCAGATGGATATGAATAAATGTGGACAATCAGCCTATATAAAGAAGTGCTCAGGATAAAAATCTCTATTTGCCTCATTACAACCTCCCAGAATTGGAATACTTAAGATCATATAGGAATGAAGAGTGCAGTCAGCAATAGAATCTGTATCTCCAACTCTGTCAAACTGATCAGTAAGAAATTTCCCAGTGAGTCACTTAAGATTAGGTGCAGCCCTGTTTCAAAATGTAGAATTCCTTCTCTGCATTAGCATCATCCACTAGGCTCCTCTTAGATTTCACTTGTCAGCCAGTGTATCCAAGCAAGAAAAACTGACTCATTGTTGAGTTTCCACTTCAAGTATTTTCAGTTTAATTCTAACATATTATCATCCTAACCTTAAAAGAAAATCCCCCCTCTATCTATCTCTTTCATCTCTATCTCTATCTCTTTTGGTTTTTTTGAGACAGGGTTTCTCTGTGTAGCTCTGGCTGTCTTGGAACTTGCTCTATAGACCAGGCTGACATTGAATTTACAAAGATTAAATAAAACATAAATAGTGCAGGTTAGTGTTCCAGACTAAAAGCTTCCCCCCCACCACACACACACTACCACATCTAGAAAAGTGTCAACAAAGGGTGAGTTACTCATGGGATTATGATAGCACAAAGGGAGTGAAGCGACTTCTGATAGTCTTTCATGTCCTTTAAAAACATCCAGTGATCACAGGTCCCGAATGACATCCTTTCTAAGCAAAATCTGACTGAAAAAGCACTGTACTGCTAGCACCTCTGGGAACTTCTGAGCTCTCCAAGAATATGGGAGGAGCAAAAGGAGTATTTGACCTTGGAAACCACTCAATGTCAAACACTGGAGGAAAAAAAACCAAAAAACAAGACTTTTATTTTTAATTTAGGATTAAGATTTCTTACGTATTTCCAATCAACTCAAAGCAAACAGCTTTGATTACAAACCAACTAATGTTCTTTTCCCTATTTGAATCTGCTTTTCCAGTAGTAAAGGGAAAAGCACAATCCCAGTTGCCCAGGACCGAGCCTCAAATGCTTTTGACATTAGTTCACATTAGGTCACCGAGCAAAGGGCATCCATCAGCTTACCTGCTGCTGCACCGACCCTGTTCCTACTCTGGTTACCTATTAAGTACATAGTAGGGAACCTAGCCCTTTTTCTCCTTCCTTTCTGCTTTGTTTTCAGAGTTTTCTTTAGTTTTTAAATATGTATGTTTTATATAATATGAATTACATACAATATATTCATGTGTATACATATATGATGTCTGGGGTGTGTGTGTGTAAATGCACACTCGCATGCACCAGGGCCCATAAAAGGACAATGACCTAAGGTCCTCAGGCTTGGTGACAAGTGCTGTTATCTGCTGAATCATCTCCCTGACCTCTTGTTTGTTTAAAACTCTACTGCCAATATTTGATTTTATCTGACCACTAATTTAAGAAAAGTCAATGCAACTACTGCAGGACTCTGAACTTGCAAAACATTTCTTTCCAGGTCTGAGTTCAACCCTACAAAACTAAATAATAAAAGCCAATTATGGGCTGGACAGTTGACTCACTGGTTGAATGTTGGCTGTGCAATTATGAAGACTGGAGTTTGGATCCCAGCACCCACATAACAAGCTGATCTTCCTGCAAATGCCTACAGCTCCAACTCCGGTGGATTGGATGCCTTCTTTTAGCTTCAAAGATACACACATCTGTATACAGGTGAGTGCACACAGGTGAGCACTCACACCTGCACTCACAGGTGATCACTCACCTTAAATATTTTTAAAAGATGTAAGCTGAGTTGTCTCAATAACTCTACAGCATTGAAAGCAGACTATTTTCTCCGGCTGCAGTGAAACAAGAAATGATAGAATACCCAGGATCTTTTCACCACCACCAGATCTGTTTCCACACACTATTTTAAAGCAGGTGTGTTCAACCTGTGGCCCATAGGCTGCTCTCATTCCAGGACAGCTATGAACAGAACCCAACATGTTTGCAGATGGCAATCAAAAGGTTGACACTCCTGATTTAAAGCTAAGGGGAGCTCATGTGAATTTGGAGATATGATGCCACAGGAGTTTTAAGAAGCAGAAAACAGCAGGAGAGCTGGCTCAATCAGTAAGGTGTTCATCACTCAACACGTGAGGACCTGAGTTCTACCCTCTCTCTCATGCACTTAAAAGCTAGGTGGAACAGGATTCTCTATACATATGTGCAAGTACACCCACATACATGAACACATACACATATACAGAAAATATATTTTTTTCTTTCAGGACTATATTAGAATATTACATTATTGTCTTACACTGGGGTGATTTTTTTCTTCTCATTTTTGATGTATCTTTCATTTCCTAATATGCGGTTACTATAGAAATCACACAATTTCCATGTTAAAACAAAACCCAGCAAGAGAGGGAGTCGCATGCTATTTGAAACATGTAGTTAATGTAAGATCATTTATCTTGAATTTTGAATTGCTAATGATTTTATTAGGTTTTATGCAAGCACACACTGAGCCCATAGGTTCAACTAAGTGAAATTGATTAGCTTATGCCCTTTACATCATTGAGTTTTTAAAAATAGAAAGCTTTTGTGTATGTCCAGCTACCTTAGTAAACAAACAAACCTGTTCCCTTCGGAAACTGTAAGGTCACTGAAACAGTATAATGAGCTGTGTGCAAATCAGTGACACCCTCCAGAGCTACTGATAAGCAGCAGAACTGTTCTACAGAAAGGTACTCTGCTGCCATCTTAACATCATTACCTGATCGTAGGCCCACATTACTTCCGAGCACTGTAGAGATGAGGAAGCTTACAACCACTCCAGACACTAACGCAGTCTCCACATGACATTCACATACAGATTTTGAACAGCACTGCTCTGGGGTACACAGCAGCAGCTTCTATCTTAACAATAATATGAAGAGTGCATTTTGCAGTCTCTGGTCCAGTTGTAGCCAAAAATGTTTCCATCCTGACTTCCCACCTCTTCATTTCCAGTATGCTATTGTTGTATGGGAAACACAATCATCGAATTCTGTATGTAAAACCCAAATGTTTCAGTGCTGAATCTGGTTCTCACAAAACAAGAGCCGTTATGACTGAACTCCAGGGCTGCAGACACTGATACTTCGGAAGTTCATGATATAATGCCATTGGTGTGTACCAGTAATTATTAAGTGCTGTGACAGTTTTTTAGACACTGTCTTGTCAGGATTGTGTGGGTATGCACACCTGTGTGCACACACAGAGGCCAGAGCAGGACATATTTTTCTTTACTGATCTCCACCTGTCTTGAGATAAGGTTTTTCACTGAATGCTGAATGGGAACCTCACTTTTTTGACTAGCTGGCCACCCAGCTCTAGGCATTCACCTGTCTCCACTTTCTAATCTAGAGGTATAGGTACATGTAGCCATGCTCAGTTTTGTACATGGGTACAGGGAATTTAAACCTAGGTCCTCAGGCTTACAGGTCAAGTGTTCTTACCCACAAAACCATCTCATTCACTTCAACTATTTTTTCCCAATAAATCTGTTAGAATTTATATATCCAACTGATTACTATTTTTCTTCAACAAAGTTACTCAAGAGAATAAATGCAATTTCTTACGTCTAAAGCCTTCCTATCACAATATTTTATATAACCACTAATTTTGTCATTCAGATCTATCTGGCAATCTATTTTAACAATCTCTACAAACTTAGTACATTAAAGTACAAAGATGTGCCAACCTAGTAACTAATCATAGGTACCCTAAGGCCACTTTTAGAGTTATAGAAAAGATCATTTGAAATATGCTTCATTTTGAGGATATGTAATTAAATGTGGAATCTGGCAATGACTCTTTAAAACTTAATAACTGCGAGATAGTCTTATTTTTCAGTTCTACCACTCATTTTAAGAAAATAATAAAGTGATACATAGAAGCGAGTTTCAAGAAGACATCAGATTTTAACAAATCTGCTTTAATCCAAGATGAACCCAGAATACAGTATACTTTCTTCATCTTTACTCATGGACTGAGACAGTGTTTGAAACATCCCATGTGAACCAGACGATCACAGTTCTTTTAAATATCTAATACATTTCCTCGTTTGTATAGGTATACATGATAATCCCATACCTATGAGCTTTAATAAGATTAAAACATTTTATTGCAACTACTACTTTATCCCTATGAAAGGCAAAGAGAGCATCTGAACTTGTAATGTCCTTCTATCTTAAATCCAAGTTAATTAACATCTATGTGTGATGGCTAATCTTGGTTGTCAACTTGACTGATCTAGAATCAACTAAAAGACAAGCATCTGGCCACTCCCCTGAGGGATTTTCTCAAACAAATTATCTCATCCAAGAGGGAGGTATACCCTAAATGTGGCCAGAACCCACGCAGAAGGAAGGTTTGGCTTTCTGCCTGCTTGCCTTCACTCTACTGGAAAGTACACCGTCCTGTTCCCGCCATTGCTGCATTTCTTCACTCATATCAGAACCAGCTTCTTCAGGCTGCGCACATGGTTTCCAAAGAATCCTGCAGGCCCTCAGCACCAGGCTGGTACTGTTCAGACAGTCAGCCTCATGGACTGAGCAACCCTAGGTTCTCGGCCTCTCTGGTATGAAACAGCCGTTGATGGACTATCTAGACCCTAACCCAAGCTAATCTGATAAATCCCTTTTGAATCTGCATTCATGCTATCACTTCTGCTCTTCTCAAGAACCCTGACTATACACAGCAGAATAAGAACATTTTCATAAATTATCAAAACTTGATATTATTGGGGGGAAACAGCTTTAGCAAATGTGAAAATGTTTTCTTTGCTGATTCTCCATGAGAAAAAAGATGTGTTCTTCCACAGGGGAAAAAAAAAGGAAAGAAAAGGGAGGTTTAGAGAAGAGTTCTGATGGATACCATATCACAAGGTTTGTCAGCCACTGTAGTGAGGAGAACAACAATGATCTCAATGCAGTCAACTGCTGAAATGCTCAGTAACCCCAACTGATTTTCAAATTGGGAGGCAAATTACTGGCAACGAGTTCATCAAATTTAGATCTATCTTGAACTCTGGGAACATTATAGAAATCAAGAACGTCTTTGACCTTGCACATTTGGTGAAGCCTGGAGTTAGGTACTGCATGGCCCAGGTCATCAGCTAAATGTGCCAAGAGTCTGAACTTCACACGACCATCATCCAAGGAGATATCTTGCCAATTACTAGGAAGAGATGAACCAAGAACTTCTTTAATACAAGATTCCAAGCGACTCTGGAGATCGTCAGGTGGTGTGTATGCTCGGCTTCGTAAGGGTGGACACACCAGAACAGGCTCTTTTTTCACTTCTTCTACTGCCTCAGTCACCACCGGCTCTTTCTCCTTTCTGGAATGATCAAAAGCAAACACGTGAATCTTTGGCTGATTATCTTAATGATGCTAATAAACATCTGATTGAATCTTGCCTTGCAATCAAAATCCAGTATTTTGTACACTTAAGACTTTCTGAGCACAGTGGAGAGCAGAAAAGAGTAAGATGATCATCTACCCTTCAGGTGTGTATAGTTGAATCAATTGTTAGAAAAGAAAACAAAAGCTTAGTATGTATTTTACAAACTTGTATGAATTCTAAAAATAAGTAAAGAACAAAGATAAGGTAAACTGTTCTATCTAGTGCTAGTCTGTCTTCGTTGTTTCTATTGCTGTGATAAAACACCAGGACAACAGGCAACTTGTTTATTTCATCTTACAGTTCCATATCACACCCCATCACTGAGGGGTGTCAGTGCAGGAACTCGAGGCAGGAACTGATGCAGAGGCCATGGAGGGCTGCTGCTTATTGCACTGCTCTGATGACTCACCCAGAACCACTTGTCAAGAGGTGGCACCACCCACAGTGAGATGGACCCTCCCACAATTTTCAGTCAGGAAAATGCACAGACTTGCCCACAGGCCAATCTGGTAAAGACATTTTTTTAATTGAGATTCCCTCTTTCAAATAACTCTAACTTTTCTCAATCTGACATAAAACTAGCCAGCATATCCTCCAAGATCTAACTCTAATATAACTAACTAAATTTACCTCCCACCAATTTCTTACATACATTATAGGCCTGCTCAAACTAAACTATATTCTGTTTTCCAAACACAATACCACTTTCCTGACACTTGTTAGTTCAGGTTATATTTCCTTACATGAATCATTTTGATCTTTACTCATGGAAATTATACTACTTACCCTATAAGGCCTAAGACAAAATGCGTGCCTCTTAAGAACTTTAACCTGACTCCTCTAATCAAATGTTAGTTCCTCTGATCTTCATAGCAATCTACACTGCCCAGTGTATCCCATCCTACACAAGTTTTAATTTTGATTATATTCTACTTCACAAGATCAGAACTTCTCAGTTCCAAACAGCTTATATTTTTTACTGGACAGTCCCCTGCTGTGTGTGAGGGGCCATTCTGTTCACTGTAAGGTATTTACTAGTGTCCTGGCATCACTTTACTTAATGACAGTAGCACTCCTGTCCTGAGTCATAACCATGGACACTACCAACACTGTCTCTTGAGAACCACCATACCAGACTGTAAGATCTTTAATATAATGGCCTGTTTTGGGGTTCTTTGAAAATGAACTCAACAACTGCTTAGAAGAGAATCTGGCTGACATACCATTTAAATGCTTTGGTTTGTGAACCACCTAAGTAATCCTGTTTCTCGTGGAATTGGCATCTGACTGGAATTGACCATCTTTACAGAAACAGAAGACCAGAAATGAAATGTCTGGCCAAGAATATACTTTAGAATGTAACTTTGCTTGTCTACTTAAGACTTTGTTCCATCAACTCATCCTTCATCCTTCATAAATTTTTGATTACCATCTCAGTGTCATGTCTTGCGATGGCTTGAATATATTATCCTCAAAAGCTCTTGTCTTGGACACTCAATATTTGTAATTAGGCCTTTTTAGAGGTAATTAGAGGAGATAAGATAAGAAGATTGGGAATGCCATAAAAGCATTAGTGGCTATAAAGAAAAGGAAGAAAAAAACCAAGCTAGTATGCCTTCTCTGTCTCACTATATATTATTCTCCACTATGTTAAGAGGCAGCAAGAAGGTCTTCTACAGATGTAGAGCAGATAATATTGCCAAGCTATTGATAAGTCATCCATTTTTTGACATTTTACTATGTCAATAGAAAAGGGACTAAGACTCTACTGAAGTCTTAGAGTAAACAATATACTGCAATAGTTTCCATTTTTGAAGAAAACTAGCCACTGTTTTTAAAAAAATTCTCAAGAGAGTTATGTTCATATAATTTCCACTCACTTACCTTCCATATTCCTCAAGTCCCTTCCATTACATTTCATCACTTTCAGAATAAATGTAATTCAAGTAAAAGACTCAACATCCCAAAAGATAGAGTGACTAAAACAAAACCAAAAAAACCAAACAAAAAACCTCTGAGGGCTGGAGAGATGGCTCCCTTGTCAGAGACTGGGCTCATAACCAAAACGTCAAAAATAAAAACCAAACTCTAACTCTATGTTGTCTGTAAGAAACTTCTTATTCTTATTCTTTTTTTTTTTTTTTTTTTAAGATTTAAGGGCTACATCAATTAAAATTGATGGGAATATTTCATGGGCATAGCTATACTTACATCAAACCAAATAAGCTGTTAAGTCAAACTTTCTCTCAAAGGTAATAATACCTTTCTCTCAAAGGTAGTAATAAAATGATCAAATCAATTGGATGAAATAAACATGTACCCAATACCAGAGCACCTAAATATACAAAGCAAATATGAACAAGCCTGAAATGATAAACTACCGAAATAACACAACTCAACACACACTCTCAATAAACAGTGGACAGGCTAACCACACAGAACACCAATAAATACTGAATTTTAATAATATTGTATACCAAATTGACATACACAGAGCTTTCTGTCGTAGAATATTACTTTACACTGTAAGAAGATGTGTCACTGTGATTGGTTTAATAAAGAGCTAAATGGCCATTAGCTAGGCAGGAAGAGGTTAGTGGAACTTCTGGGGACAGAGCTCTGGGGAGAAGAAAGGAGGAGACGCTCACCAGGCACAAGGAAGCAAGATGGGCAGTACAAAGTAAAGGTAACTGAGCCACGTAAAAGAACATAAATTTAAAAATATAGGCTAATTTAAGTTGTAAGAACTAGTTAGGAATAAGCCTAAGCTAAGGCCAAGCTTTCATAATTAATAAGTCTCTGTGTCGTTTTTTTGTGAGATGGTGGTCCAAAGGAAAATCAGCATACAGCTTTCAATTTAACATCCCGACCATTACATGAAACACTTTGATCTTTACTTGCTTCTCAAGCATGTACTGAATATTTTCTAGGCTAGATTATATTATATCACAAAAGAAGCCTCATGAATTTAAAAGATCAAAATCATACAAAATAGCCTTACTGACCACAAAGGAAAAAAAGGAGTCACCAGTAATTCAAGAGAAAAACAATAACAACAAATCTCTGGAAACTAAGCAACAGACTGTCCGGTCAAAGAGGAAATCAAAAGGGAACTTCCAGATTATCTTGAGATAAGGGACTGGAGAGACAGCTCAAAAGGCAAAGTGTTTGACAAGTGTGGTGGTTTGAACAGGAATGGCCCCCATAGGCTCATAGATTTGAATACATGGTCACCAGGGAATGGCACTATTAGGAGGTGTGGCCTTATGGGAAGAACTATGTCACTGGGGTTTCGAATGCTCAAGCCAGGCCCAGTGTTTCCCATTCTTCCTGCTGCCTACAGAGATATAGAACTCTCAGCTACCTCTCTAGCACCATGTCAGCCTGCATTGCTACTGTGCTTCCTGCCATGACAATAAGGGACTAAACCTCTGAAATGTAAGCCAGCCCCAATTAAATATTTTCCTTTATAAGAGTTGCCATGGTCATGGTCTCCATGACCATGAACGGAAGCCCTAAGACACTAGGTAATAAGACACCAGCAACAGAAACTAAAGTTTCTTAGTTATGGTTTCTATTGCTGTGAAGAGGCACCATGACCACGGCAAGTCTTACAAGGGAAAGCATTTAATTAAGGTGGCTTACTTACAGTTTCAGAGGTTCAGTGTATTATCACCATGGTGGGGAGTATGGTAGCATGCAGGCAGACATGGTGCTGGCTACATCCTGATCAGAAGGCAACAGGAAATGGCTGTGACTCTGGGAGTAGCTTGAACTCAAGTACAAGAACTCAAAGCATGCCCCCACAGTAACACACTTCCTCCAACAAGACCACATCTCCTAATAGTGTCACTCCCTTTGGGGGCCATTTCCTTTCAAATCACTACACCTAGACACCAAGTAAACAAAGAGGACCAGAGTACAATACTCATCATCCTGGAGAAAAAACTACCAGAAGGTGTGCAAGCCTGTAATGAGAACACAGGGAAGTCAGAGACAGGAGGTCTTGAGATGGCTGGCTAATCAGTCTAGTCAAGTCGCTGGGCTCCAGGTTCAATGAGAGACCATGTCTCAAACTATAAGGTGGAGAGTGACTGAAGTAGACACCCAACGTTGACCTGTTCTTCACATGTATGCATGCATGCACACACAAAAGCACACACACAATATCTTGAGATAAGTGAAAATGTATAGCATAACTGTGTGAGCTACTTTTATGTCAACTTGACACAAGCTAGAGTGCTGTGGGATGGTCTGTATATCAAATGTGTTGCTGAATGGTCAATAAATAAATCACTGATTGGTCAGTGGCCAGGCAGGAAGTACAGGTGGGACAAGGAGGAGAAAAAACTGGGAAGTGGAAGGCTGAGTCAGGGAGACACTGCCAGCCGCCATGATGACAAGCCGCATGTGAAGATGCCGGTAAGCCACGAGCCATGTAGCAAGGTATAGATTAATGGAAATGGATTAATTTAAGCTGTAAGAACAGTTAGCAAGAAGCCTGCCACGGCCATACAGTTTGTAACCAATATAAGTCTCTGTGTTTATTTGGTTGGGTCTGAGCGGTTGTGGGACTGGCGGGTGAGAGAGATTTGTCCTGACTGTGGGCCAGGCAGGAAAACTCTAGCTACACTCGAGTCACTTGGGAAAAGAGAATTTCACTTCAGAAAATTGATGTGTTTTGAGAGCCCAGGTCACCATGGGTGGTACTACACTTAATCTGGTGGTCCTGGGTGCTATAAGAAAGCAGGTTGGGCAAGCTGTGCAAGAGTGAGCCAGAAAGCAGCACTGCTCTATAGTCTCCACATCAGTCTCCTGCCTCTAGTTCTTGGCCTGACTTCCCTGGATGATGGACTGACCTCAAGCTGTAAGATTGAAATAAATCCCTTCTTCCTCATGTTGCATTTGGTCATGGCATTTCATCACAGCAGTAGAAAACTCTACCAAAGACAGTAACAAACATTAAAAAGAAAACCTATACTGAGGAGAATTTATAGTAATAAATGGCCACATCACTAAAGATTTTTAGCAATCTGACATTGAACCATATGAAACTTAAAAAAAAGAAAGAAAAATGTAACCCCAAAGTTAGCAAGACAAAGGAAATAATAAGATCAGAGCAGATACAAATTTCATAAAAAGAAGCCAATAAAACTAAGGGCTGATACAGAAAACATGTAATTAAAATCAGAAATATAAGGAGATACTTGAGATGTTTCAGAACCTAAAAGATACTTGAGATATTTACAGAACCTAAAAGAAACAGTTAAGATCCTAGGAACTAAGCCAGGAAAGAATAGAAAGCCTAAGCCAGTCAATAGCAAATAAAAGAGACTGAAGAAAAACAAAACAGCAAAAAACATCCCAACAGAGACTGGAATAAGTATCTTCATGTGATAATTGTGCCATACATTCAAAAAAGAACTAACATCTGCCCTTCTGAAACTCTCCCTAAAGTGGGAAGAAGAAACACTTCCAAAATCATTTTATGAAACCAGGATACTAAAGCCAGACAAAGATACTACAAGGCATTATCTCTGATGAACATAATGCAATAATCTTCAATAAAATAGAAGCAAACCAAATTCAAAAAGACAACCATACTATGACTAAGTAAACACTTCCTTGGACTGCAAAGTTTGTTCAATATACACTGCATTAACAGAATGAAAGTAAACATCACATCATCATCTCAATGGAAGCAGAAAAGGTGTCTGATATAAATAAAGCCTAACACTCATTCAAGATCAAAGCTCTAAACAAAATAGGTATAGTATCTACCACAACCAGATAAACATACATATGTGCATGTATGCTTATCTCATACTGATAGATACCCTTTGAGGCCAGAAGAGGGCATCAGATCTTACAGGAAAGCTTACAGCTAAACTCATAATGAATGGGGGAAAACTATTAACAAAACAGTTTTCTTTCCATGCTCAGGTACAAGCAAGGATGCTCAGTCTCAGAACTTCTTTTTCAGGGGGAGGGGGGGCGGCGCTTCCTATGTAAAGTACACTGGCCTTGAATTCATCATTTTCCTGCCTCAACCTCTGCAAACCACTATAACCTCATACTAGAAGGCATACTCAAGAGCTTTGAGAAAAGAAAGAAATAAAAGGCATCCAAATTAGAAAGAAGTAAATTTGTCTCTGCAGATGACTTAAGTCTATTAGAAAAACTCAGACTATGTAACACACACAAGAAATTGCTAGAACTAATAAACTAACCCAATAAAGTTGCAGTATACAGAATTAACATTTTTTTTTAAAAAGTTAGTACTTTGGGGGCTGAAGAGATGGCTCAGTAGTTAAGAGAACTTGTTACTCTTCCAGAGTTCAGATTCCAGCATCCAGATCAGGTTGCTAGCTCACAGCCACCTGTAACTCCAGCCCCTGGAGATCTGATGCCCTCTTCTGGCCTCAAAGGGTATCTATCAGTATGAGATATGCATACATGCACATATGTACATAAATAAAATAAATCCTCAATAAAATCAGTAATTTCTTTAGGGAAATAATAAATTAGCCCAAAAGAAAATCAAGAAGTCAAATCCAGTTTACAGTTAACAGGAAAAAAAAAAAAAAAGAAAATATTTAGGAAAAAATAACCAAGTAGGCTAAAGATCATCTATCTGTACACTGAAAACTGTAAAACACTGAAAACTGTAAAACACTAATAAAAGAAACAGAAAACACACATAAATGAAAAGACATCCATGCTCATGGATTGAAGAATCAATTATTACGTTATTTTATCAATACTGTTAATATGTCTGTACTACTTAACATACTTAACCCAATGCCTATCAAAATAATTTAATGTCATTTTCCAGAGACATACTGAGCAATCTTAAATCACGAATAGCTGCAGCAATCTTGTGCATGAGCAATGTTGAAGAAATCATACTTTAAGATTTAAAATTCTGGGGCTGGAGAGATGGCTCAGAGGTTAAGAGCACCAACTGCTCTTCCAGAGGTCCTGAGTTCAATTCCCAGCACCCACGTGGTAGCTCACAACCATCTCTAATGAGATCTGGCACCCTCTTCTGTGTACATAATAAATAAATCTTTAAAAAAAAAAAGATTTAAAATTCTATCCCAGAGTTATGGTGATAAACAATAAAAAAAAGGTAGAGATCTTAGTGTTTTCATTAAAATAAAAAAGGATGTAAAGAGATGGAATTAGCTAGACTGCAGAAATCTCTTCTCTATGTGTATATACATCAATGCATCTATTTACACCTTAAAGAATAGGTAACCAAAAAAATGAACATAATTTAACATCAAAGGCTCCCCTCTTAAAGATCTTTTCTTATTAACCACTGTATCTTAATATCTACCATATAGTAGACATTAAAATATTTGTTGAGTAAATAAAAGAACGAACTTGGAACATTTGACAGTAACCAAAGAGAGAGATTTAGTTAAGACATGAGATGATGACTCAAAATTTTAACCTACGACATTCGTTGTTCCCTGCGGGGTCCCAGCGGTTAAGTTTCCATGCCCTAAACATTTTCTAGGTCATACAGATGGATCCCACATGATGCAGTGGGAAAACTCTAGGTAAGCAGTTAAGACACAGGGATTCTATATCCACCATGCACGTGCTTTTCTCTTCAGTGGGCCTCAGTTCCCCCTAGAGTCGCAATATTGAGGCGTGGAAAAGAGACTACTACTGGAGCATTGTACACATTTGAGAGAAATAGAAGACGTTTAGAAACTATTTGTTGTATGCATCAATGAAATACACGCGCCAGAGAGAGAGAGAGAGAGAGAGAGAGAGAGAGAGAGAGAGAGAGAGAGAGAGAGAGAGAGAGAGAGAGAGAGAGACCGAGCGAGCATGAGGGTGAGGGAGAGAGAGACACAACGTTGAGCGGGAGGCTTCATTTCTCATTTTGCTTGAAAACAGACAACCCCCGGAAAGGAGGTTGGCTTACTGAGCACCTACGTTCATATTTTAGCTTAATCAGTAAGAATGAGTCGTCTGCTTGCAGACACCACACTGCGTGCCTTTGACATGTGGTTAAAGCTGTTTACTAAGAAACGTGAGACGCGAGGCAAAGGGCACCGTGTTGCCATTAGGAGGCTCCGCCAGTCGCGGAAACGTAGGCCGAAGCTTTTAACTCGGATCCCTACTCCACGCTAACTCCTGCAGGCTAAGGACCAGGGTCCCATCTTAACCCTCTGAACTCTGCACCCTAAGTTCCTGGTTACTTTCGTGGGACGGAACCCAATGAGAAACCCTCAGCTTTACCTGGATCGAGACCAAAAGTCTCTACGAGTAGCCAAGGGGACCTTCCACAGCCAGCCTCTTCTAGCAATCCCGCACACACACAGCGCCGCCATCTCCGACCAGCGTTCCGGAGAGCCGGGACATGCCCGACTCAGCCAATCACACGCGAGCTTACTGCAGCGGTCCTTGTTGTTGCCTAATCCTGTGCACACTGGGAAATGTAGTCTATTGCCATTTGCGGAAGATGGCTGTGGCGCGCCCCCGGGGCATGTTGGGAGTTGTAGTTGGAGAGGTTCGGTGAAGGTTCCGGGTAACGCCTTCTGGTTCAGGGGTGGTCGGCTGTAGCACTGCTTGACTGTGAGGTGGAGAATTGGCAACAAGGAGACTGCAGCGAGGCCCGAAAGACTGCACAGCTGGGCAGGAGACGGGGCTTGGGGTTGGAGGACAGTCAAGCAGATTGTCTGATATGGCCCTGGGAACGTGACCACTCTGAGACGGAGGCAGGACCTCCCCAGACCCATCCAGTGAGCCTCGTCTTGGCGGGGCCTAATTTCCAGCAGCCGGCTAGGCCTCACCGGAGCCTCATTGCTGTGTGGCTACTATTCCTGAACGAGGACATGGCGTCCCCGAGCCCACTGCTGGAGCCAAAGGTGAGTTGCCCCTTCGAGAGATCTCCGTTATTTCGCCACTCCCGAGACGGCCAGGCCGTGCCATCACCTCCCCAGTCCCCATCTGCTGGCTGCCAGTTCTAAGGGAGGACCCCAGCCAACAGCCGGAGTACTCCTTGCTCCGGGTGCAGTTAGTTCATTACAAACTGTCCATGGGCTCTTTTTTTTTCAAGAACAACTTGATAAATCGGCTGGAGAAAATTAAGACTGCTCCAAGTTAGTTCTCGTTTGTGAGTTCCCCAAGTGAGGCACTATTTTTGATATCCTCTGTCTTCTGCAGCGGACCTGATGGCTGAACTTAAGGTGGGTGCTTAGGGACCTAATGGAATTGAGTTGAATTGGGTCACAAGCTGGTGTGGGTAGACCATTGGAGTGGGACGGTGAGGTGAGAGAAGCTTGGAGAGGTCTTGAGGCTGTTAACTACAGTTAAAATAGTGGTGGCATTACTGTGCAATAACCAAACCAGAAAGGGCTTTCAGTTTAGAAGGCACAGATTCGGATCAGTTCCTTTCCAGTCTAGGTGTTTGCCTGTAAAAGTCAGTTCCAAGAATTGAACACCTTTTGATATTCTTAACTTTGTTCCTCCTAGTGAATATGACCATGGTGAGTGATAGAATTATCCCTGAGAAAACTGGAACTGACTACAGAAATCATACTATTTCAGCCGTTGCTGACATTTGAGGATATGGCTATGTTTTTTTTACCCAGGAGGAGTGGGATTATCTGGATCCAGCTCGGAGAAGTTTGTATAAAGATGTCATGATGGACAGTTATGGAAACCTGGTCTCTCTGGGTAAGACTGTGCTGTTTCTCTAACATATCTAATAAGTTGCTAACACTCATATTCAGAACACTTCAACCAGTATTATTAATGCTAATACCGTTTTGTTCCAAAATTCTGATTCACATCTCTCGGCCATTAATTATGTCCACGATTCTCTTATCCCTACCTTCCTTATAACCAAAGTGCAAGGTTTTTCAGCTTCCCAATCTCCTTCCCATATTACTCTGTGCTTTTCTTCCTGGTGCATCTTCCCACTGCTTTCCTCCCACCCCTTTTCACTGCCTTCTGGAGTGAAGTTTCTTTACACAGTGTTCCTTACCCCTCCTGGCCTACACAGAAACCTGGCACGTTCCCAGGGACACCACTTCTCTGGCAGACCTTCAAGTGGGGGCTGCTCATTCTCCCCAGTCGTCCTTCCTCTTGCGTTGTCTCAAGGCTGGAAGGCAAAAGCTGATTATTCTTCCAGCCTTCAGTGCTGCTTCCAAAGCATTTGTTTTCTACCTTCCAATAAAATGTCCTGGGTCAGAAGTCTTGCTCTACCCAGTCTGTCCCTTTTTACCATCGTCTGTCAACTCTTTTTTTTTTAGTGGTGGGGGCGGGGGGCTAGGGGAGGTTTTTAGTCTTCACTGCTTAACCCAGTCAGCAAGTGAGCCCCAGTGGATCTTGGTCCTGTAGACTCCAGGAACCTGCTTTTCACGCTTATTAACTACTCACCTCATTGATCATGGCCCTGTTTGTTATAACAAGCAAATGTGAGAACACACTGTCCTGTTCTCTGACCATTTATTTCAGTAACAGTTGGTTGTTGACTCTAACTAAACAAAGAGGTGAAACAGGCCTGCTTCTTGCCCTGGTGGAGCTTAACTGTGGCTTACCTTTCCATTTCTCCTTCACCTGTCTACCTAAACCTGTTCATTCTTAATGTATTTCCTGCCTCTTGTTGTGTCCATGTCTTCCCGATGGTTTCAATCCTTTCCTGACTTGTGAAGATGTCTTCTAATCACAGCATGTTGTCTGGCCACTTTGATATTATGCTGTACTTATTCTGCAAATTTCAAATCTTGTATTTATTATAAGATCTGTCCCTTTTGCCCCCTTCTACCTAATACCCAAGCACCACAGAAAAATTCTCTAATTAGAGGATCAGTGTCCTGTAAGTATCTAGTGAGGAGGGGATGTTTGTTTGTTTATAGAAAGGATCTCTCTGTGTAGCCCTGGTTGACCTATGTCAAGGCTGGCCTGGAGGTCACAGAGGTCCACTCAGCTCTGCTTCCTAACTGATTAGGAATTCCTAAGGGATTAAAGGCATGCACCACCATACCTACCATAGTGTCTATGTGTCTCCTAATTTACACTGGGTTTATATCTCAGCAACTTTTTTTGTATGTGATATGCTTCTTTTCCTATTAGTTTTAGTAGCAGTTTCAAAATTTTAAATTTTCTCATCACTCTGTGGGCTTCATCTTCTGTTTCACAGACTATTAAAATAGCGTTCACTAGCATGAATTCTTAACTCCTCTGCCCCTCACCCACCCACCCTTAAACCAGCTTCTGTCTTTTCACTAGAAACTGAGCTATAGTCTTAGTTCTTTGTCCCTTGCTACTTAAAGAAATTGGGCCTTTGACCTTGTTTATGCTAAGCAGCCTTTCTATCAGTGAGGTACATCTCCAGCTCATTACCCTTTGTAACCTCCTTACCCTTTGTAACCTCTCTTCTTATGATGGGTTTACATCATGGCCTTTCCAGCTTAGGGAAAAAGAAACAACTGAACCAGTCAGTGTCTTCCTCTTGCTATTTCCTGTGATTAGACTGCTCTTTTCCCACCATTTTTTATAAGTTCATGTATATTTAGTACAACTTTACCTTCTGCTTTCTCTGTGATTTTTATCTTGGCTCCTCAGTCTCCGTAAGTTGTTCCATGGGGATTTATTAACAACTTCATTGTCAGATACAGTACACCCCTTTGGACCTTATTCTAACCCTTTTTTTTTAATGCTTATGACTTTTTTATTGTTTTGTTTTGAGACATGTTTTTGCTTCATAGCCCAGGCTGGCTTCAAATTCACAATCTTCCTGCTTCAACCACCCAAATTGCTGGGATTTCAGGCATGCCCCACTACACATTGTTTGCTTAAAATTCTTTATTGCTTCTCTGTATTTGCTTGTGTTCCTTGTTATCTATCCCCTTTGCTTGGAGGCCCTTACCTTTACTCAGGTCATTAGCTGCCACCATGAGATGGTAAGTCCCAGCTAAGAAAGGTAATGTGGCACCTAACTACCTCCTATATGGGATTCCTAGTTCTTGCCAGTTTTGTGACTATGGGGGAAATCATTTTTATCTTTCTTCAGAAAATGGAAATAATAATGACATGTACTTCTTACACTGTTGTTTTGATTACCAGGTTATATATCAGTAAAGTACTTAAAATGATGACTAACAGGTAATAAAAATAATGAAAGTATTGATTGATGTTCCCCCTCCCCCCATATGATTGATATTTTCCTTATCACCTCTGTTGAGCTCCAGACTGACAGTTTTCTTCTTTTGGGAACAATGTAAGTTATGTCTGAGAAGTCTCAGATAGTCCATTGAGATCTCAGGAATCTTCTCTGCCCAGTTAAATAACCCCTCTTTACTATCTTGTCTTTACTTCCATTTCTGCCAATCTGCAAATCATTCTCTATGTTCGTTCTCATTACACATGGATCAGCATTGAGGACAGAACCTTCTTTTTCATTGGATGTTTTCAGCACTTACCATAAAGCCAGGCCTGTATTATATGCTTCTTGAATAGTCATGTTTCTGAGTAAGTTACAAGTGAATTTAAAAACTGTTTCTCTTAGTTGGATTATTGTCTTATGCTAAACTAGGTCCTGGCCATCCAGGTGATTTTGGGCTAGTCTGTTTAAAACTTCTGATCGTTCTATTACGCTAGAACTCCACAAATTCAACCTCTAGATGACCCCCTTCCCCCATATGCCATGGTGTATCTGGCTCACTGCCAGCTTATCTACTTGGAGGATATCCAGAAGGGTACTGGTATAGCTAGATTGAAAATACTGTCTGGTCCTTTACTGAAAAACTATAACTACAGTTTTAAGGTTGATTTACTTTCATATTACTCTCATCAGATGTCTTCTCAGCTATCCTATATGCCATGGTGTATCTGGCTCACTGCCAGCTTATCTACTTGGAGGATATCCAGAAGGGTACATGTGACAGAAGCAGAGCAATGCCAGCCCTGCCTGTACCTCCTGTATGGGACACACAGTGGCAAAGGTGGAGCAGTGAGCCCTTTGGTGAGCTTGTGCTTTCAGGCTTTCTTCTTGAGTTTATCTTATATACAGCTTTTCACTGTTCCTTATTCCTCTTCCACAGTCTCCTCATGCTCTTCAACAGACCCCACTTCCATTGCCTTGATGAGAGCGCCCGTAACCAGAGACCGCTGTTATGTTACTGGTCCCATATAGTATTCTCCTCCATTTCATCTGACTGTTTTCCAAAACATAGCTCTTTCCTACTTTTGTATCATACTTTTTCATGTGGGTTTTTCTTTAAAATCTTAATAGCTACATTGATGATACAGCTAATAGCTAATCACTCAGTTTTTTGGCCTTTATTTCATTGACTCATATTGGATCTTGTCAGAACTGAGAGTTATTGAGACTACAAGACCTTGGACTCATTTTTTTTCTTTTGTCCA